AAATAGTTTTCTCTATTCGATGCATTCTAATGATTATACAATAAAACTATGTACATACACTTTCATTACCCTACTCTTTCTCTCTTTTCGAATAACGCGACTAATTCTCAGTATTAATATTAAGATAAACACAAACCGTCAATCATTCGTCCTAGGTAAATTGACTCTCGTCAATTTGCCATCTGAGTTTTTGGTCAAAGTTTTGCTACATTTCGCTAAAAACTTATAAAATATACTTAAGTTTTTCGATCGCAAGGCATTTCATATATAAATTTCATATTTTGTGAGAATCCATTTGGGTTTATAGGGTATGAGATTAAACTTCGGAACAATTTGAATTCGCAAGTCTCTGAAATTGCTTATTCGCATAACTTTTATATATTTAAAGTTTGTTAGCGATATCAACATTTAGGAAAAGAATTTCACGAATCGTTTGCAATTGAATTATTTAACTCATTGGCTTTGCTTCAATAATTTCCATTGACTTTTAGTATACTCGTATGTCATACAATACAATGAAACAAAAACCTCAAAAAGTAATTGTTTATAGTAAATATTAAAGTATTGTATATAATTTTATATATGAGGGTGCTACAAGTACATACTATGTTTCTATAATGGATTTGTTTCATATTTTTAACGGTCGCAAAATAACTTGTTATAAAAGTGTATCGAACATCACTGGGACCAACACCGTTGCATTGATTTTGTGTCACATAAAGAATGTTGTTGCTGACTTTACATAATGAAAACATTTTTCAGTCTTAAACATAATATATTATGTTTTAGTAAAGTAATAGTTAACATTGAAATAGTTTCATTAGAATCATTATTCACCATATTAATGTAGTACGTATTTATATCCCCCATACTTTCAAAAAAAAACTATCAAAGTTATAGCAATTCTTCTTCTTCTCATGATAATGAGTCTGACTCTAACAGACTTTTAACTACTTTTACTTGTTATACCAAAATGTTCTCAAATTACTGTTATTAGAAATGTCTAATACATTTCCATGTTAATAATTTATTAAAATCGCTGCTAAAAAGGGAACTCGTGTCAAACATAACGTTATTGTTCATTCACCTAAATTTAGTGACATATGTATGATACATGGCAATCCATTAGTTTGCACTGGAAAAAAAATAAGGCTAGAAGCAGGCTGTAATTAATTGTAAAATTATTTTGTACTGATTAGTTTGTGCAATAAATTATATTTTTTAATGTTACTCATTTCAAGATATACATATATTTCACTGATGACATTAAATTGGTAGCTTATTTGTATTTATTCAAAGTTTTTACTGGCTCAAGCATAGTCCCGATGTGTCTTAAAACTACCTGATTCTAATATGGGTAGAAAGATATTTTTTTATATATATTTTATTTACACATTTACATGGGTTATTTACACTTTAATATGTAATGTATGGTATTAATGTAGGAGTCATAATATACCAACAATTATATTACCGTGAGGCAAAATGAAAATAAATTAAAATTTAATCAAGTCACCCTTGTATTTTCAATTTTCATCTTAAAGACAAATTGTCTAACCTGAGCAGAATAACGGCAAGATTTTATATTGAATTTTGTAAATTAATTAACTACTAGCTACTTTCTAATATTTTATAATATATAAATAGATGGATAAAGTTCGGTTAAGGTAGACGGTAGTTATAGATTGTTTTAAAAAAGTAAAGACGAAAAATTTTGTACATGTAAATCTAAACATAGCGATCTATTAAGTAAATTAAGCTAATCATTGCCCTTTTCAAACAAAAGAGGTCAATTGAATAAGGTCATTAATTTATTTCTTATAAACCTTAACCTAGCTGTGAAAGATACAAATAGATGATATATATACCAACCAGTTTGTGTATCACTTAATGACGGTCTGAAAATCATTTCGCCAGATCTTCAATAATTTTCTCACCCATTCCTGTTACTTCACTTGAATTAATAACAACGTTTCAGTACCTGTATAAACATAATTTAACTTTTTGATATTATTTAGGAAACTTAATAATTGGAATTCTTCGAAAAGTCTATCTGATGGCATTTTTTACCAACCGATAACCTTGTGTATACATATGGAAATAACCGACAGTATATATGTATAACCTTCTAGCTCTTTTAAAAATTAATTATCTAAAACCGATCTGTCAAACTATTACTCTATTATAATTATTTGTGAAAATCATAAAATGAAAATTGTTTTTTACATTTGTGGCCGTTTTACAAAAAATACAAAGGAAGAAGTCCCTAAAGAGCTTTACGGGATGTTAATCTCTTGCAAACATAGCATCGTTTTTCAAACATTACTTGTCCAAATTCCTTCTTAGATTATTTATTTTCTGGATTTGCCTATATTTTTACAACGTTCTATTAAAATATAGGAATAAAAAGAGAATCTCTTTTGTTGTAGTAGTGTCAATACTTTACAACGTTATAAACAAATTTAAGTTGATTAAGGGTCCGAGCCCTTTTTTCCTCACTAAGTTATCGTTTTTCTCTTTTTAAAACTATAAAAACAAATTTTTCAAGCTAATGAGAAAACCTCTGTATAAATACGATCTTTAAATCTAAAGTCGTGTAAACCATTATCCTAAAACCAAATCTGACATTATTCCAAATAGTTCAGGTTATGTTTGTAAGAGTAAAGTAAATAAAATAAAACAATAATAAGTACACTTTTAATACATATTTTTGAAAATGTTATTCAACTGTTTTCAAAATTATTAATATTCTTAATTTATTTATTTTAAATAACAATGATAAAAGATAACTCTCGAGGGTATTAAAATTTAAGTCCTTTCATCTTATTCCCTGTAATTTCAAAGGGCCCTACAAGTTTTAAGATGTTTCATGAATATCTTACAATCTATAATATTAATATCTTGTTACGAAGTTATAACTCAAATTAAAAGTAATTTCAATGTTCTAACAAGAAATTATATTACACTGTAGTACTACTTTTGTGAACATAATACTTATTGAAAAATAAGAAAAATTCCTAATGAAAATAGTACATAGAAGTCTTAAATTAGATTTGTTTTTGTTGAATACTTAAGTTTGTTATGTCGTTGTGTGTTTTGTTGCTTATTTTGCTAAACTAATATTATTTTTCTGATTTTTGTTTCAACTTACATGTTTGAGTTTATTATACTCTATATATGTAGTATCTAGGTATATACCTATTACATATAATGTATATTGAGTTATTGAAGATGTTATAAATATGTAAAAATACACCGTTTGAAAGTTTTAGTTCAGCTTGTTAGTAGTTTTAAGTCTTACTAGTTGTCAAATGTCTCTGATACATTCAAAGTTTACTCAAATACTTTTCACGTGTTAAAATTCTACGGTTCATACGAAACGAATTTTGAGAATTAGATTAAGACAAGTCAAACACTATTGTACGCAGGTCTATTATTAATATCTGTTATATGATATCTAACTTTTGCTTTCCTTTGTTTGTCAGAAAAGTTAAATAGTTAAGTTTATTTTTACCGACAGTTATAAAGACTTTGTAATTAGTGTCAGGGTTTCACATATGTTTCTTAGCCGTTTATACATTGTTTTAATTCAGAAGTTTTTGATGTGATGTACGTAATTTTAATACGTAATAATGAAAATTTTACAATAATTATAATTGTGCGCTAATTGAATGTTGTTTTTAACAAATACTATACTGCATTGTACGTTTATTATGAAGTAAAACTAAGTGAAGGTCTTTTTATGCTATTCATTGTCTTAAAATAAGTCTCACATCACTTTTGAAGGACTCTGCGTTATAAAGATAAGTAAATGAATTGCCATGAGATTAGATTGTGACTTTAATGTATTTAAATTAATACATTATTTTTGTTTGAAATGAATAAACCTTTTAAATATTAATTACCATTCTATTCTTCTAAGCTTTTTCAGCGTACATGGTCCTCACCAATGAATAATAAGAATACGAGGTGCTTACAATCTGAAATGTTAAAAAAATGTTCAATTATCACAATGTTTAGGTATAAAATAGAATTACTTACGATCCATAATGCACAAAATGTGTTATGTATGTACATATATATGCTGTTCTCTTATACTATGTGTTTTTTCATGTGAAAAAAAAAATTAAATAAAAATGTTGGTTTAATTGACTTCGAGTACTTTTTAAAATCAAATATTCGAAATCAATAAATAAAAGTGTTAACGAAGGGTTAACATATGTTCACTACCCACAACAATTGGTTTGCCTACAACACATTGAACCTGAGTTTCATTTTCTTATTCTCTTAAAAGTTAAAACTATCTTTGTTTACTAAAATACGTACCTACACAGCTATATATAAATGTAATTATTAAAGTAAAATTTATTATTAACTATCAAAACATTTATGTGTCAGAGAATATGTAACAAATTAAGTGATAAAATTTAATCGTTATATAAATTATATCACTCTTAGTAGAAATGACATATTCTTTCATTATCATAACATTACAGATCTTTAATCTGGGAAACTGCATTGTCTTGGAAAAAAAACAAATTTTCTCATAGAAATTCCAATCATGATAATCACTTTACTTTTAATACATACTTAGGTGCATTATTTAAAACAATTAACGTCTGAATATACATATATTACTACTTTTAAAATTCTAATTCTTTCATAATTTCCTTTACATAATATCTCAAATCGAGTAAAAAAAATTCGATATTTCACTATAAATAAACTATAAATTCAAAATATTGAACAATACTAACAAAAAAACGTAGAAAATTTGATTGAACGAAAAACTGAACCGACCAACTGAATAGAACAATCATTTTTAAAATACTCTTTTGTTTCAATTAAATTCACAAAATAGTACACACTTTTTATAAAATTTCTTCATTTATATAGATGAATTTTCTATAACTTTATAAGGTGTAGAGTGTTGTAATGACTTGAGTAGGTATTCTTAGTGATGAGATACAAAAACATATACCTTCGTAAATGAACTGAGACTAATCCTTGCATAATTCAGTGACATAAGACAACAGGGCTTTTGGGACCTGAAAACAAAATTCAACATTTTAGCCAACAACTTTGGAACTTTTAGTCATCTCTAAGAGTGAGTGAGTGAGTCAGGCTTTTACTAAGATAGTGGCCTTAATATATTAGGATACATCTTTACTTAACATCTGATGGGATGGTAGAGAAGCACTATATAGTTCTAATAAAAAAAACTATGAGGCTATAATTTAAGATATATATTTATGATATCATATATTTTAAAGGGATAATTTTATTATTTAGGATATTTATCATTTAAACAACAATTTTACATCGTATTTAATTCGACTGTATTGGATTACATTATTGGTTTTAACTCATTATTTGATTATTATTTAATTCATTGTTTGATAATATTTTAGTAAATTTCATGTGACTTTCAGTTTATCATGTGCGTATTGTGTCAACCAACTTACTAACGTTGACGTTCTAAAAGGTTCTAATTTCTCTTTCTCAATGATTATTATTTTGTGAAAATAAATAGTTATAGTTTCATTTTATTAAAAGATAGACTACTACTTTGAGTGTTAAAGGTTCGGAACCTACCCCTTACCTATTGCTAATATATATATATTATTACACTTACCTTAAGATTATTAGATAAATACTTTTCTGAAATTTTTGATTACCATTGTACCATAAGGTATCGTAGGCTGAATTCATGATACCTGTACTCTAAGAAAATATTTTTATACATTTTATATAACATATAATATAACATTTTATGAGTTAGGTTAGTTTTGAAATATTCCATCAGGTTATCTAATTACCTCTTCTTCAAGTTGTTGCGCATAGAAACAGAGCATGTAAATTGGAAACAATAGGGCTATAGTGGCGGCCAAACATTTAAGTGATTCTGCAGTATTTGCCATCTAAAATAGTTATAATTGTAGTTTATTGGTACGACTATTGAATAAAATACATACATAATAATGCATACTTACGGTAGCCCCAAAACAAAAGAAACAAATAAGTATTGTTACGGAGATGAAGTCAATGCATACAAGTTGGTTAAAAATTACATTAAGGAGTCTGATGAGACTGAAATATAATAAAAGAAATATTTTTTTGTAATAAGATATTTTTCAGCTTAATCGTCACAGAAATGAAAATTCAAATACGTTCAAATTCAAATAGGAAATGACAAAAGAGGGGAAAATCTATATTTATTCTGTTATGCTATGCAACACTTCAAAAGTATAATATCCCAATTGTTTACTCTGTCATTTTATTTTGAAACCTTACACTGGCACAGAAGTAAAGAGAGGAAATTATTTTCTCAAGGAGTTGTTTTTTTGCTTTATCGTAAAAAAGTCACCGGAATATTAACAATATAATATTAAACAGATTAGGTCTTGTTTTTTGTTTTAATTATTTTCAAAATTATCATTCTTACCTTATTAACTTTTGATGGTTATAAATGAATTTTTCTATTACCATATCAGAGTCATCCCTAAGCGATATATTTCTGTCTCTATTTTTCGGAACCTCAATGCAATTTAGGTCTTCTCGTAGTATAGCAAATGCCATGCTCAATTGTGAACAAAGTGTGATCAGTAGACATTCTGATCCCAAATAAACGTAACCAAGACGAAGAGCTTCAAACATTTTTGTATTTAAGAATTTTAAACATTTTTTTTTTTAAATTAGCTTAATGCTTGTCGCTTTTTTCACTATTTTAAGCTTAGTGGCATAATCCGTGATAATTTAGATTATTTTGAATATTACACAAAGGAACCTTGTATTACAGTTCTTATTAAATGCAGGAATAAAAAAATATAAAATGTGAATAATAATAATTTTTAACTTCATTACAATTGTGACTTATTCTTGCCTTAAATCATTATAAGACATAAAAAACGTAAAGGTTATCTACAATTTAAATCTAATCAATTGTCTCATTTCAACTCACCTGAATAGCATTGAAAATAATATACTGCCAGATACGAAAACCAATTTTTAGTGAAATCGTAAGGATAACAGTTTCCAAAAGCGAAATATAATTCAGTTTCTTCACCGAGAATAAATTTTTTAAAAAGCACAGTACCAATTGCGGTGAATAAGTTTAAAAAATTTGATATTATGCTTCCCCAATAGAACACTGAAATAAATTAAGTAATAATTACAAATAATGCTATATCATAATACATAGGATTTTGAGATGAAATGAAATATCATTAATATATAAGTCTTAAGTAATAAAATGACAATAATTAATACCCGCGATACACAAGTGAAATGTTTTTAAATTAGATTGCCTTTTTTCTATTTGTTTTTCTGTAAGTTTATTTTCGGGTCTCCAGATTGTTCCAAGATTGTGTATCAAGATTTCAATTTCACGTTTTTTTGTTATCATTACAGTACCTTTTATTAAACCTGAAATTTAAAATACTTGTTAAACATGTTCAAATATACAAATTGTGATGAAATTATATTATGTTATTAAAAAAAGAATACTAGTAATTATTATTTATCTTATTACAATTAAAAAACCTGGACCAAATAAAGAAACTCACATTGAATAAAAATTAAATAAATAGGTATCATCCAAATAATTTTTGAGACAGATTCCTTTTTCGTAAACCAGGATTTTACATACAATGTCTCGAAAATAAAATGTATTAGGGCACATGGTACAATATAGAAAAAACGACCATATCTTTTAAATTTTGGTAAATTATGATCAAAATATTTTATGTTGCTCCGATCTAGTAAATCGAAAGCTGTAGCAAACGCATTAATAAACTCGGAGGGATAGTCTTTTACTTCTTTCATCTTGAAGTTTTATGTCTTATACAGTCATTTGTAATAGTAGAAATACGATATCTTAATTTTGGCCGTGTCCTTATAATATAACGGTTTTAGGGATCTGTATCCAATTTTTTATTTATTAGCAAATATATTACATTTTATAATTTATAATCAAATTATTGCGATAGAATATATGCTTTTCATTTGAATACTACTTTATTATATTCTTAAAAACTACTAATATTTTTAACTTTTGTAAAAATAATATATTCTGAGAACCGTAAAAATATATAAAGTTTCTTGAGTAGGTCAGAGGATATGGAAAGAGTTAATTACAAAGCTTTCAACTGCAAGCATTCTTTGTAATTATTTAATAAGCTGTTGGTTAATTAGTAGCTAACGGAGGAAGTGTTTTTTTTTTAAACATAGTGACTGAATTAAAAAAGAACAAAAATAAATAATCGAACGTCAAACAGTAATTATAAAATGGAAAATTTATTGTACATTTTACTTTTAAAAACAATTTCAAAACAGAGCATGTAAATAATTGATCTCTATGTTTTGTGTTACTTTGTGTCTGAGGGCAAACTGATTCATTCATTATTTATTTTTTGCATTTCAAATTGTTCAAATTGTTTATTATTCACTAGTGATTAACAAACAATCAATTAGTGAAATTACAAAGAATAATAAAAAAATTAATATATGTTCTGTGATTTTATCTAAACGTAAATTGTTATACCAATGATTGTTTTAATCTATGAGACCAAGAACTTTTACTATTGTTGTGTATAGAGTGCAATATATATTATATAATCTTAAGTAAATTAAATATAACTGTTACTTGAATCTGAGGTGAAAAGGCCAACAATTCTTCTTTCTTCTTTTCCGTATGAGCTGATGTACCATCGAGTTTTGGCAGAAGAGTTTGTGAGACCCTACAGAATTTTTTCTTAACCAGAAAGACACAAAGACATGAGATCCCTACTGTGGGAAGGCTGAGCAATAAATTTTGTTCCATGAGAGTTAATACAATAAACTTACTACAAAAGAACTTCAAGGATAAGCCTTCTTTAAGGCCCTTTTCCTGGATTTCAAGGTAACGAAAACACTGACAGCAGATGCTATTTCAGATATACTTAAACAACCCAGCGTGGAGAATAAAGTTATACTCAAGAGTAACCCGAAAATGAAAAGTGCGCCGCGTCTGTAGAACATATAAAAGTCTGCACCTTTAAGTGGCGGTAATAAGAGGATTTGTAATGAGAGGATTTGTAACCTCTGTGGAAATTTACTTTTCTTTTTCTAATATATGTATAAGGTTATTATTTTTGTAAGATGAATAGACTACATGGAGAATGGAAAGTCTTGATATTATTAATCAACCAAAGAGCTAGACTCGTTGCGCTAGTAGGGGCTGTATCTGGAGACCGTGGGGATGCTCGATCCTCCTCAGAGATCGCAGTTGGGTCATCTGGTCGCCAACAGGTATGATGGAGCCATCCTGGAATTATACATATTTAATTTGGCAGATTTTCATGGGCGTCTAGCCCACTAAATGGGTCCCCTACTGACTGCTTGCTTTGTTGCTGCCTTTCATGACCAAGAACCTAACACAATAATAGGTAGATGGATTTATGTACTCGGCTTAAATTACAAGGCATCTGTTTAGACCTATCATCCATATGGCTTCATTACAGAACTTACTGGAACCCGACAAATCGATTGTTACCATGACTTTGTCTTATAGGTGGTCACTATACCGATGGCCTAAGTTGTGACGTCCCATCGTGAAAATTTGCTTTTTTTATTTTATTAAGTTTGAAAGTCTAGAGAACTAGAAAAGGATATCCTATAAATATATATTATCATTATCCTTTTGAATTGAGGAATTCCAATTTTTTTTATACATTAACCTATATTTTGATTAATATTATTATTTTCATTGATTTCTATATCCTTTCCAGCTAAATAACAAAAACTGGGCTTTACAAATACTATTTGCTGACCCAATTATAATGCTTGAAAATTTAAATTAATACCTTCACAAAAGTAGCTGATAATTTTTATATCAATTAAATTTAAAATTTGTAATTGCTTCTTTTATTTCAATAAAAAGGAAGTTTATTAAAAAACGATTTTTATGTATTCTTTATTAAGCTTTTCAAAATATGTCTACATAAGAAACTCTACGTCGTTGCCCATCCAATCATAGTGATTTAAACATTTTTAAATTATTTTATATTGACTAGCTATTATTCGTCAGCGTACATAGTTCTTATAAGGGAGTAATACGAATATGATGTACTTATAATCTGAAACATGAGTTACAAAATATGGCTTTAGAAAATACTCTTTAGATGTAAATACTAAAGTATCGAAAACTATGTGTTACGTAAGAATGTGAATCATTTATCATGCTGAATTCTCTTCTTAGTATCATGCTGAATTACCTTCGTAAATGAATTAAGACTTATGGGTGCGTAGTTAAGGGACGTAAGACAACATGCCCTTTGGGATCTGGGGATATAAAAATATTTTAATATTTGTGAAGTTATATTGTGCTTTTAAATTCAAATTAATCAAGTCCTTTAAATCAATTTTTCTTATTAATGACCAAAAAATCTTCAGAATTAAAGTTAGAACGGTGATAAACATATTTAATACACTCTTTGGTTCCTTTTTACAAATTGAAACTTAAAATAAAGTAATGTTTTTATAGACCTCAGAATTATTAAAAATATATTTTTTTGGAAGGTTTTATCTCCCTCGTACCACAATGTTTCATAGGCAGCGTTTGCAATGCCAGCACTCTAAAAAAAGTTTAGTATTGAGATTACCATACAAACATAGTATTTTTGCTTGATCAGCTTGATATACATACCTCTTCCTGCAATTGTTCAGCATAGTAACAAAGAATATAAATAGGACCCATAAGTGCCAATGCCGCGCTAAAATTTTTCAGAAATTCTGTAGTCTCCGGAGCAACCTAGAAATATCAAAAGTCAAAGGAATAAAACTTATAGGTATTAAATAAATAAAGAAATATTCATTTAAATGAAACTTATATATTATAGTACATCCGCAAAATATTAGTTTCATTTAAAATTATTAAATAAGTTCTATACATTCATAGAAAAGGGTATATAAATAGTAGCCTTACCGAAGCTCCGAAACAAAAGAAACAAATAAGTACAGTAGCAAAAACAAAATCCAAGCATACTAGTTGATTGAATATCATATTTAATATTTTTACAAGACTGAAAAAAATGACATAAATTTTAATAAAAACCTTTCAATTCAGGCTCAAAACAACTAAATTTCTGCAAAAAATTATATTTCATACCTTATTAATTTTTGGTGATGACTTACAATATCTTCAATAGTCGTTTGTGAGGTAGTAAATTGTGATATCTCTTTATTTCCATTTTTGTTTACAACAATACATTTTAAATCTTCTTGCAGTAAAGCGAAGTCCGTGCTCATTTGCGAGCAGAGTGATATCATAAGACATTCAGTACCCATATATACATAAATGAAACGCAGCACTGAAAAAGTTAAAACCATAAACGTAATACAAAAAAAAATTATTACACAACAAAATCACTATTAATATTATAAATACGAAAGTATGTCTGTCTGTCTGTTACGCTATCACGCTTAAACCACTGAATTGATTTTAATAAAATTTAGTACGCAGATGGAGTCGACCTCGAGAAAGAACATAGGATAGTTGGATAAACCAAGACTTTTGAAAGGTTCTCTTCGAAACCAAACTCCACGCGGGCCAAGCTGCGGGCGGAAAGCTAGTATTTATATATACTGAGAAAATAGTAAAATGTATATATATTAAAGTTCTAAAAGTACTTCCTTAAAATATCTAATATCTTCTTAAACCCCTTTATAAATTTATTTCTACTCGTAGTACCATTATTATTGTACTGACCCGAGAAGATTTGAAAAGAATAAACTAAAAGGTACGTGAACCAATTTTTTGTAAAATCGTACGGATACGTGTTTCCAAAAGCAAATTCTAACTCTGGATCCTGTTGCAGAACTAAACGTTTGAATAAAATAATACAGATTGTAGTAAATAAATTTTGATAAGAAGCAGCCATTGATCCCCAGTAAAATACTGAAAACAGATATCAAAATATATAGATATAACCTAAATATAATATAAATTGAAGCAGCTTGTAACTTTTTATTATGTGGCGTAAATTACCTGTAAGACAAAAATTGAAATTTTTTAAGCGATATTGCTTTTTTTCTATTTGATTTCTTGTAAGTCTTTCATCAGTTCTCCAAATAGCTCCGAGGCCTTCAACTATAGTCTCGATTTCTGTTTTCTTGATACAAACTACAGTAGCCTTTATAATACCTAAAACATATATTATTATTATCTAAGTGAGTATTAAAATTGTCTCTTAACAGGTTTCTCTTTTGACAATATTTTTGATACACGAATTACCTTGAAATAAAATTAAATAAACAGGTATCATCCAAGAAATTTCTGATGTTGGTGAGTCGCTAGTCAACAGTGAAATAACATAGAGTGTTTCAAAAATAAAGTGTGTCAATGCACACGGCACTACATAAAGAAATCTCCAGTATTTCTTGAAACCTGAATCTTTTCCATCGAAATATTTTATGTTACTGCGACCTAGTAAATCAAATGCCATATTTAAAGGTTTCAGAAACTCATAAGGAATACTATTCATGGCCATTTTAAGACTTTTTTAGTTTATCGTTGATTTTGTCAGAAACATTAAAGTCTTTTCATTTGATACTTGAGTTTATATAGTCGCTTTTGGAGATCGGCAGTAGTATTTTAAAAACGTTTTAAAAAAATATATCTTATGACATTTATTTATTAAAACTATGACTAAAACATTAAAGAGAAATATTTACATTTATACGAATATATTTTTAATATCATATATTTATTGAACCACGCAATACAATTATACATATTTCGCAAAAATTAAACTATGAGCCTAATATCACACCCATCAAAGCTTTGTGAATATCAAATGAGAAGTAAATTATAACGTTTGTGCTTTGTTAGGAACACATGTGTATTGCAGGTGTTGGAAATTGTATGATTGTTTATTGTCTAACAGTAATACGTTATTACGAAATGATTAGTAATTCTTTATTCTGTTTGTAGAACACAAAAAACACTTATATCAAATTTAGTTACATAATATTTGCTTTTTTTTCTAACTTGTATTAGTCTAAAATATCTTGCACTCTTAACAAAATCTTTTAAATTTAGTAGTAAATATCTAATAAAAATATTATGCATTTATAATTATTATGGTTATATCGTCTTAACAATAAGGCTTTTTATTCAGTTTGTGTGTTTATTTCTTCTTGTTTTATTTTAACCCCTGTTCACCACTCAGCGTAAGTCTCGTAAAATATAGTGAAACATTAAAATACACTTTTGTCTTTCTTTCTTTCCTAGAAAAGCCTCTATCTAAACTCTTATTATTGTCATAAACAAAACACAAAACTACAGTGTAATCTTATTCAGAATAAATGGTCGTAATGAAAATAATAATAACGTGGGTTTATATATAATATTTATGCAATTGAAAATGTATGTTCTGAAATACCACTCCATAATTTAGAGGAAAAGGGAAGCAAGTAACCACGAAACTGCCCCATAAATTGTCAGATTATGGGAAAGAAGCTTTTATATGAATATATGACAGTATTGACATAAATTATCCGGTTTCATAATCTTTTCAAAATAATTTCCTGTTGCTAGTTTACATAAATAACTTAGCAAGCTCGAAATATAACAAAAAGCATTGTAGGTCCGTTATTATATATTATTATTAAAATAGAAGTAATTCATTTTCAGTTTTATTGATATAATATATAAAAGTTGTACGTACTTAAATTTGTCAAAATTCCATACTTAAGAATTTATTGCATTATTGAAAAGATAACCTTCATTGAAATGCACAAGTAATAGTCACTGTGTGGGTTGTATTTCATAATACAATTTAAAAGAGAATATTACATAAAAATTAGACGCAGAGAATGACTTTCGAGAATATTTGACGAGGGTTTCCATTATTTGTAAACATATTTATTTACCTTTTCCAACACATCAATCATAAGATCGTCAGAGACTTTTGTTACCAAACGATGTATGTGCTTATTGTTATAAAAACAATAAGATAAAGTTATCACATTTGTGGAGTGAAGTGAAGGACCGATATATTAACATTGATACGTTCAACAAATTAACATATTAGAAGTAACATTGTATCACTATTGTAATGATTACTGGACGTGAGTTGTAGATATTTATTTTAATTTTATATTTTGAAGAATTTTTAATAAATGACCTGCAGAAAATTAAATACGCTGGTTCAGGAAACTAGATGGTGACTGTAAAATTCTAAATTCAATTATTTTCACCTTAAACGTGAAATCCCTTTACTGCTTTTGATACTTAAGAATTTAAATTGCGTAGATGCTTAACCTCGTCTCGACGTATAAATTCTAAAAATTTTTAGCAACTGGCCCGAAGCAAATTCATTTTTAACATTCAAGTCGTCTTATATCTTAGAGAATTACAGTCTTCAGAATATACAATGATTATATAGTCAAAAACAAGCTTATAATGTCTATTTTTATTTTGACAGTAAGTAGCAAAACTATTATTTTTATCTTTATGGTTACTGGTTTTCTCGTCAATTATGACTCTGTTTACTCTAAAAAGGAAATGTATTTATTCGAAAATATCTTTTTTGTGAATGTTCCTATTCGTTTTGCATAATTTAAAATAGCTAACAAATATGAAAGCCAGAAAAAATATGTTAACATATGGTGCCCTAATTTTTATGATATACGTGATATAAATTATTGAAATAATGTACTGTAAAACTACATACAAAATTTTGTTCACAGCTATAACATATATATTATATTCTGCATTAAATCGGCTCCCTCAAGCCGACGCTTTCTATAATTTATTTGATAAACATTCCTATTTTATTAAATATTACAATTTATAGTTGGTATTGCAAGAGTTATTTCAATTCACCAGCGTTTTATACTCACGTGATTGAAAAAAAGGAATTCATTTGCTTCAATTATTACCTTATCAATTCCGTTTTCATTCTTTCTAAAATTGTTAAGAGTTCGTTCCAATCGCAACGTCGAAATAAAAAAAAACATAATACATAAAATTTCATGGATTTTGGTGTGAAATAAAAAAAAGCTTTTTTTACATTTAATTTTTGTCAATAAACAAATTCTTACAAATTGAAGTGTAGATAAGTTTAATTGTTCGAAGTAAGATATTTACTCAAACACCTTCATAATATTACATATTAATAATTCATTATTAATATATTTACCCAAAGTAATATCATAACACTATTTATTTCACATTAAATTGGTTCGATATCTGCCTATAACAATCTAATCATCATAATTATCATTAATTTAACTTTAAATAAATTATTACCACATAAATATTAATCTAATTTAACCAAATATAAAAGTATATTTCAGTTACATTTGTCTGCCGAAGACGAGATTACATTTGATTTTTACTTGTATATTCACATTTAAATCAGTAAAAGTAATTCTTAATGAACGACGTTAGACGTTTTTAATAATAACTAGTTTTTGCCCGCGACTTCGTCCGCGTTAATTTCGTCATTAGTAATATAAGTATAGCAGACCGGGCAAACTCTATTCCGTCTTCCATAACCCGGTATTGGTATTTATTAAATTTCTACTGTTTCAATCGAACAGAATGATTGACATATTAGTTAGTTGTCAAGTCTAATGTCAAAAAATCGTTTGTATGGGAAATAGAAAAGGGCTGTTTTTAGGATTTTTAGGGCAATTTTCCAATTTTTCTCGCCTTTTAAACCTTCCCTGGACTTCCAGGAGTATTTCAAGACTAAAATTAGCCAAATCGGTTCAGCCCTTCTCGAGTTTTAGCGAGACTAAGGAACAGCAATCCATTTTTATATATATAGACTAGTTTTTGCCCGCGACTTCGTCCGCATTAATTTCGTCATTAGTAATAAATGTATAGCTGGCCGGGCGAACTCTATTCCATCTTAAATAACCATGTATTGGCATTTATTAAATTTTTCCTATTTCAATCGAACAGAATGATTGACATATTAGTTAGTTGTCAAATCTAATGTCAAAAAAAAACGTTTGTATGGGAAATAGAAAAGGGCTGTTTTTATGGTTTTCCCAGTAATGAATCAATTTTTCTCAGCTTTTATACCTTCCCTGAACCTCCACGAACATTTCAAGACTAAGATAAGATAAATCCGTTCAGCTGTTCTCGAGTTTTAGTGAGACTAAGGAACAGCAATCCATTTTTATATATATAGAAGAAGATAATCCAAAGTAGTATTCTAGAAAATTAAGAAATCCTTGGCGGTAAATGACAAATAACAAGTCTAACTGACAATTTCGTATCGTCTGTTCAAACTGAACCTAACTACTATGACAAATAATAATTATTAAATACAATGAGATTTAATGAGCTTACAAGTACACTAGTAACAAAACTGTGCGAAATTCAGGTTGATGATAACATTATAATGTTCTTTTCGACCTCATATTTAAAATTATAGCAACGTATTGTTTATTTTTTGTTACTTATTTTAAGTTTAATGGTCATTTTCCTTTATACATTAAATCATTTACAATAATATTCAAAGACTTCAAATTAAATAATTAGATTTCTCTAAAGATTATCAGATTATTGGAGTTTTGTCTGTGTGATATATGTAAATCCTATTAAAATGGTTAATGACTACATTTCTTATAAATAAATTGTTATAATATATTTTTTCTTGTATGATTTCTATTAAAAATGCGTTACCGATAAATATGCAGGATATTTAATATTGACTCTCTTAACTGAATAAAATTAATGGATATCGAAAAGTTATGCCCCTTATCTTAAAAAAGTACACACCACCGTAATAATTACTTACCTAAGAGTATTTAGTGAAAATGATATAAATCAACCAGGACTACAATTATGGTGATCATCATCATCATCATTTCAGCCGAAAGACGTCCACTGCAGGACATAAGCCTTCTCCAAGGATATCCCCGATGACCGGTCTTGTGCCACCCGCACCCAGCGGATTATATATGATGGCACATTTTTCTGTAAATTTTTAACAATATGACAGACTTGTTTTATAAAGCATTGCAATATTGAAAATACAAAATATATGAGTTATGAGTTTTAAATGTTAAAAAAATATTTTTAAGTAATTTAAAAGTTACTTTAATTTTATGGTTAATCAGTTAATTATTTCAGTGGTGGTAGAGCCTAGCTGTGGTCAAGTTACTACAGCTCGAACATGGGCTGGCTCGACCGGGGAAGTACCACCCTCTCACAGAAAATCGGCGTGAAGTAGTCTTTTATGGCTGCATTTCGTCCGGTGAGTGAGAGAGCCGGTTGCCCTTTTCCCACCTTTTCCTTTCCCTCCCTTTCCCACCTTTTACTACCCATTTTCCCCAAACAAGGGCGGCAATACATCTGCATATCTACGTTGCAGATGTCAATGGGCGACGGTAACTACCTACCATCAAGTAGACCGTCTGCTCGGTTGCCCCCTTTTCCCATAAAAAAATTAAGTAATACATAAATCATTTGTTATTTATTTTATACATATTTATGTACATCCAAATTCACTCACAAATCAAAATATAT